ATACATACTCCATACCCTTTCTCCATAATTGTTTCATTGGTGAATAAATAAATAGCTGGTAAATATTGAAACCAGTCACAGTAATATATACCAGACAATAAAGTCTGGCTTCGTCAAGTACAGTAAATTGCATAGGTAGTAGTATACCTATTATAAGTTGCCTATAATAAGTTTTTCTGTTGATGTTAGTTAGATACAGATATCTCTTCCATTCCCAAGTATTCCTCTGCACTGCTGATGTTAATTTTGCAGACATTGGTTTTTCCGTTGATGCTTACAGAAATCTCTTCCGTTCCCAAATATTCCTCTGCACTGCTGATATTAATTTTGCAGACAATGTTTTTCCGTTGATGCTTACAGAAATCTCTTCCGTTCCCAAATATTCCTCTGCACTGCTGATGTTAATTTTGCAGACAATGTTTTTCCGTTGATGCTTACAGAAATCTCTTCCGTTCCCAAGTATTCCTCTGCACTGCTGATATTAATTTTGCAGACAATGTTTTTCCGTTGATGCTTACAGAAATCTCTTCCGTTCCCAAATATTCCTCTGCACTGCTGATATTAATTTTGCAGAGAATGTTTTTCCGTTGATGCTTACAGAAATCTCTTCCGTTCCCAAATATTCCTCTGCACTGCTGATATTAATTTTGCAGACAATGTTTTTCCGTTGATGCTTACAGAAATCTCTTCCGTTCCCAAATATTCCTCTGCACTGCTGATATTAATTTTGCAGACAATGTTTTTCCGTTGATGCTTACAGAAATCTCTTCCGTTCCCAAATATTCCTCTGCACTGCTGATATTAATTTTGCAGACAATGTTTTTCTCATGATGTTTGATATAGATACTAGTAGTAATATATACCAGACTATAAAGTCTGGTCTCGTCAAATACGGTAAATTGTAAGTAGTATAGGTTTATACTACTGGCAGATCTAGTGACACCAATGCCAATATTGGTTTCAGGTTTTCTTCTGCCATTTGCAGTAAATTAGTAATACCAGACATAAAAGTCTGGCCTCGTCAAAAACGGTAAAATGCGTCTCGGTGTAATACAACTTGCCTATGAACTTTTTTCATATGTATCATACCTCTTGATGTGATTCATACATGTCTATTCTCCATTCCAAAAAGTCTTCTTCCTCCATTCTGATGATGTAATGCATTACTATTAATTTCTGTGGATGTTTTACAGAGATGTTCCTCCTCCTCTGTTATGCAGACATTGTTTTTCTGTTGGTGTTTTATACAGATGTCCACCCAAAGTATTCTTTCGTACTGCTGATGTTATGCAGATGTCCCTCCTCCACCCAAAGTATTCTTCTATACTGCTGATGTTATGCAGATGTCCCTCCTCCACCCAAAGTATTCTTCTGTACTGCTGAT